AATAAAGCATTGATTTCTTGATTGTATTTAAAGTCCAATTGAGTTGTGATTTGTTTAACATTTTGTAAATAATGTATAAATTGTTGACATTTTTTGGCCAATAATTGAAATCTCGATAAATCTGTTGACAAACAATTGATTTCAATAACCAAAGAGTTTTCACATATAGTTGTGAATTGTGGAAAAATATTTTTAATACATTCTCTCTCATACCTGTTATCGAAAAGAAAATATTAAAACATGTGATTTGTTTTTTGTTTTTTTATTGTATACGTAATCTTAAAGTTTATATATTTTCCATAGAATCAGACAATGAAAGCTTATGTCGTGTTTACCACTGAATACTTGGATTGAAATACAAACATCACAACGAGTTTGATGTCAATAACCATACGATAAGAGCACAGAATAGTCGTTAAAACTCATAATATATTATAAGAGTTAAAAACTTAATTACTTTTTAATGTCATAAATATATTTCGCAATACTATTTGCAATCATTTTATTTTGTTATTTCTGGTAATTATTAGAAATTGAAATCTGATTTCCGTCTAGAGATACGGACTTTACGTAAATATATTTATTATAAATACAGAGAAAATAACAATAAAACAAAACACAAGCCATAAAACTGTTGTATATATCGGTATAAAATGTACAGAATTTTAAACGAAAGTAAATTTATTAATAAATTGTATAAAAAGAAAAAGTGTTTTTACTTACCATTGATTGAGTGAAGAACAAGCGAATCACTGGAACCGCTAATATAGTGTAAGCAAAATGAACTCACAGAAACTGATCCGGACTATTGTCTGCTGGACACTATGTGTCACATCCCTGTGCGTACTGGTAGTGTCCGGTATGGTTGTGGCCGTAGCCGATGAGGTCCGCGCCTCTATCGGTACAAACAATGCTGAGTTACACGTATGTAAACAACACACCACTTGCTATTAAACTATGTAAACTAATTACGCTGACTCTCCCCCTACCGTTCAGATGGACACAGCGGTCACTGTATATACACTGGGAGTGTTGGGTATGGTATTCGGGTGCACGGGTTTGTTTAACTCGTTGCGGCACAGCTTTCTGTTCAGCTTTACGCTGTGTATATTCACCACGTTTAACGCCATATACAGCCTGTTTGTGGCCACTCATATCAAACTGGTGGGCATCGTGTGGGCGGTCACCGCGTTGAATATCATACTCACTGTCGTCACATTTCTCTACACCATGTGTTTGATGGTTAGGGCCAAGTTTGAGACCGCGGCCAACCATCTCAACGACCGCCGCACTAGTGGTCAGTCAACGCGATCCGAGTTATATGGGAGGCGGGGCAGGAAGCGCTCGTCAGATCCCCCACCGCCCCCATACGAACACCCACCCCAATACGATCACGTGGTTATTAGGATTTAATTCATATGTATTGTGTAACAAAATATTTTTACCATTATGTAATATCGAGTTGTATGATATTTATTGCCGGGTTTTGTCATGTATTTTAATGAATGGAGTGTTTTCTCTCATATTTTATTGTTTTTTATATTGTATTTCCTTTTTTGTACAAATTTTTTCATCAAAAGTATTTTATATGCCAAATGTCTTTCACTTATTAATGCTAATTGAATGCAATGTTAATAATAATTATGTTATGATTTATTACGTGTGAATTCTTATATTATTAGTTCATTATAAAGAGTGTGTCTTTTTGTAATAGATAGGGAGAGAGAGGGAGAGAGAGAGAGAGAGAGAGAGAGAGAGCTGATAAAACAAAGCCTAATGTATTGTTTTTGTAAACAAAACCTATTTTTATTACTTTATTTCTGAAAACAAATCTTCTCAATAGATATTAAAAGTTATTAAATAAATAAAACAATTATAGAAACATTTCAACCAATAATTACCGGTTCAAAAAACAACCCTCGATTTCTGTTAGGTTTTGGGTTTGATTCTAGTGGAGTGGTAGTCAGCGATGCCCTGATGTTTGTTCAAGTGATTCGTTAGACATCCGGCGTTTTTGGTCTTATAATCACATTCAGGCCAATGGCAGCGATGGACTGTTTCCTTCGGCAAAGCTGTAGTCTTGTTATGAGTGGTCTTCTCGTGATAACTGAGTGAATACTCGTTGAGATATTGTTTGTCACATCCGGGCCATAGACACCGATAGACCCGTTCCCCGCTGTGGGCATTCAGATGGCGCTTCATTTCAGCCAATCGGACGAACTTCTTGTCACATCCCGGCCAATGGCAGGGGATCTTCAGGGAGTCGTCGTGACGGATGCGATGGCGCCTCAAGTCATCGGAATTGCCAAAAGACTTCTCACATTGCGAGCACTTGTATGGCTTTGTGTGAGACTTTGTGTGTATTGTAAGGTCGTGTGAAATCTTTGTGCGCCACTCACAGCCGATATGCGAGCATTGAATCCACGGTAAGTCCGGGAAGTGCTGCCAATGGACACGTTTCTGGTGATCGGTCAGCATTTTCTCCAATCGGAACGCTTGGCCGCAGTCATCCAATTCGCACAGAAACGGCTTATCGCCCGTATGTGTCAACCGATGGTTCTTTATGGTAAACGGACTGCCAGTGCTGAAGTGGCAACCGGGATGTCCGCACTGGTGGGCCCGTTCGTTATGCATACGCCACTTGTGGATAGTTCGCTGGTTACGTGTGTTGAACGTTGCCGTACAGCCATTTATACCGCACACCGAGTGCTCCAATCTATGTATTCTTCGTTTGTGGTCATTGCATAATACGCGTGATTTGTAACGCTTCTCACAGCCAATAAAATCGCAGATATACTGGCCGTCGGGTGTCATCTCTAAGACAGGTTTCTCTGGTCTCGGTTTCTTATGCAGTTTTGAGTGCGACTGTAAGAGTCTCTTAATTTTGGTCATATACTCGCAGTCGTTGTGCGGGCACTCAAACCACGGCCACTCGGTGTGCACTTCGGGGTGTCGGTGGAGCTGATGCCGCAACAATTGGTCGTAAACTATGAACTGTTTACCGCAGCCGACGTAATCGCATTGATATCTGCCAACTGATTGTCGGCGAGCGTCAGCCGCTTTCCGATGAGCGATATGTGTGTCCGTGTGTTCGCCCAACGCGTGCATCGATACGGCGCGAAAAGTGCACAATGGCTGCGGACAGGCAAACGTGCTGTCCGTAGGATCTGGTGTGTGATGTCGGCGCCAGTGAGTGGTCAAACCCATGCGCTCATTCCAACTCATAGTGCATCCAACCCACGGACACGCGTACCGGCCGTCGCGACCCTTGCGAAAGACGAGCTTACGGTTGTCGCCAAACCGATGGTCCAGAGTTACCGTGGGCTTAGGGGTCGGATATACGGGCACTCGTTTTCGCGGCCGAATCAGGTCCTGTTTGTGACCATTTTCGTGCCGTTTGTGGTCGCCCAGCCTTTTCGTCCTATACTGACAGTCAGTGTGCGGGCACTCAATCCATGGACAGTGCGGATAGGCTTCCGGATGCACTCGGAGCTGATGTGTGACCAAAGCGCGATATGCGTTGGTTAAGAAATCGCAATTCGGTTGACCGCACGGATACATACCGTCCGGTCGGATGCGACTCTCGCACAGCAAACGGTGAGTTTTATGGGCGGACCAGTGGTCGGCCATAGCGTCAGCGTCTGGTGTCCGGAAGGGACACGTCTTTGTTTTACAATTGTATTGTCCGTCGGCGTCGGGGGTATGAAAACGAAGTTTGTGGGCTTTCACTCTCTTGATGCGATTGCTGGTAAAGTCACAGTCAGGCCAACCGCAAGCGAACATCCCTATCGAGGTCGTGGGCACCGGTGCCACCGCGGTATCGCCCGATGAACTGTCACCCATTGCCGACAGATTGAGACCATTCGTCGCCTGTTTAGCGATTACTTCAGTTTTGAACAATGTTTGCAGTTTTTGCTTCAGATTTAACTTTAGGTCTATTTCCTCTCCATTTGTGTTCACATCTGTTGTTTGCATTGGATTTATACCTAAGAAGTCGTTCAGTTTGAGCGCTCTTTGGCCTTCGTTTTCGTCAACTGATCCATCGCTCGAATCGTTGTCGACATTGCAATCGACGCCATCATCTGATTCATTATTTTCAACACTTAAATGTTTATTATTGAGTTCTTGTGTGTTTTCGTAACTTCTGTTGTCTTCTCTATTATTGACCACTTCTTCGCCATTCAACTGATCCCCTCTTTTGGATCTTTTACTCAAATCTAATAATTAGACATAAAATACAATTAATTACTAAACGATAACAACAATTGTCTTACGCTTTGAATTGCCATCAAATGAGAGATGAGTTGACAAAACATAACAACTCTTTGTTTGTAATAAAGCATTGATTTCTTGATTGTATTTAAAGTCCAATTGAGTTGTGATTTGTTTAACATTTTGTAAATAATGTATAAATTGTTGACATTTTTTGGCCAATAATTGAAATCTCGATAAATCTGTTGACAAACAATTGATTTCTCGTTTCAATTCATTTACACATAAATACAACTCATTTCGCGTTAAATGTGTTAAATCCTCAAAAACTTCACTCATTTTTATATCTCTAAACATATGTTTAAAACACAATTAAATTGTATTTAAATCACAAATAAATCCCAAAAAACTATTCAATAATTTCATAATTGGATAAAAATGTAAACACAAAACACGTGACAATCGTTTGGCAGACAATCAATACATACAAAACGTTGAGCAGAAAAATGAACCAAAAAAGTTAAGTAAACTTTTAATTAATAAAATTTAATTAATCAGAACATAATTTTATTTCAATTAAATCAATTCATTATTTACATTAAAATTAATGGTATAAACACTAATAATTGTTCATGTGCCTATTGTTATATAATATTGTTAAATAATTATAAAACATTTCAACCAATAATTACCAATTCAAAAAATAGCCCTCGATTTCTGTTAGGTTTTGGGTTTAATTCTAGTGGAGTGGTAGTCAGCGATGCCCTGATGTTTGTTCAAGTGATTCGTTAGACATCCGGTGTTTTTGGTTTTATAATCACATTCAGGCCAATGGCAGCGATGGACTGTTGTCTTCTCCGCTGCACCGGTAGTCTTGTTATGAGTGGTCTTCTCGTGATAACTGAGTGAATACTCGTTGAGATAATGTTTGTCACATCCGGGCCATAGACACCGATACACCCGTTCCCCGCTGTGGGCGTTCAGATGGCGCTTCATTTCAGGCAATCGGACGAACTTCTTGTCACATCCCGGCCAATGGCAGGGGATCTTCAGGGAGTCGTCGTGACGGATGCGATGGCGCCTCAAGTCATCGGAATTGCCAAAGCATTTGTCGCATTGCGAGCACTTGTATGGCTTTGTGTGAGACTTTGTGTGTACTGTAAGATCGTGTGGAATCTTTGTGCGCCACTCACAGCCTGTATGCGAGCATTGAAACCACGGCAAGTGCGGGAAGTGCTGCCAATGGACACGTTTCTGGTGGTCGGTCAGCATTTTCTCCAATCGGAACGCTTGGCCGCAGTCATCCAATTCACACCGAAAAGGCTTATCGGCCGTATGTGTCAACCGGTGTTTCTTTAGGGTATGCAAACTGCCAGTGCTGAAGTGGCAACCGGGATGTCCGCACTGGTGGGGCCGTTGATTATGCATACGCCACTTGTGTTTAGATAGTTTGTCCCGAGTGTTGAACGTTGCCGTACAGGCATTTATACCGCACACCGAGTGCTCCACTCGATGTACTCTCCGTTTGTGACCATTGCATAACGAGATTGATTTGAAGCGCTTCTCACAGCCAATAAAATCGCAGATATACTGGCCGTCGGGTGTCCTCTCGAGGCCAGGTTTCTTTGGTTTCCGTTTCTTATGACCTTTTCTGTGCGCCCGCAATAGGCTCCTAATTTTGGTCATATACTCGCAGTCGGTGTGCGGGCACTCAAACCACGGCCACTCGGTATGCACTTCGGGGTGTCGGTGGAGCTGATGCCTCAACAATTGGTCGTAAACTATAAACTGTTTACCGCAACCGACGTAATCGCACTCATATTTGCCAACTGATTGCCGGCGAGCGTCGGCCGCTTTCCGATGAGCGATATGTGTGTCCGTGTGTTCGCCCAACGCGTGCATCGATACGGCGCGAAAAGTGCATAACGGCTGCGGACAGGCAAACGCGTTGTCCATTGGATCTGGTGTGTGATGTCGGCGCCAGTGATTAAGCAAACCCTTGCGCTCAATCCAACTCATGGTGCAGCCAATCCACGGACACGCGTACCGGCCGTCGCGACCCTTACGAAAGACAAGCTTACGGTTGTCGCCGAACCGATGGTCCAAAGTTACCGTCGGCTTAGGGGCCAGATATACGCGCACTCGTTTGCGAGGCTGAATCAGGTCCTGTTTGTGAGCGTTTTCGTGCCGTTTGTAGTCTTCCTGCAATTTCGTCCTATACTGACAGCCAGTGTGCGGGCACTCAATCCATGGACAGTACAAATAGGCGTTCGGATGCATTCGGAGCTGATGTGTGACTACAGCGCGAAATTCTTTGCCTAAGAAATCGCAATTTGGTTCACCGCACGGAAACATACCGTCCGGTCGGACGCGACTCTCGCACAACAGGCGATGAGCCCTATGGGCGGACCAGTGGTCGGCCATAGCGTCAGCGTCTGGTGTCCGGAAGGGACACGTCTTGATTTTACAATTGTATTGTCCGTCGGCGTCGGGCGTATGGACACGAAGTTTGTGTTCCTCCACTTTCTTGATGCGATTGCTGGTAAAGTCACAGTCAGGCCAACCGCAAGCAAACAACCCCTTCGAGGACGTGGCCACCGGTGCGGCCGCGCTATCGCCCGATGGACTGTCACCCGTTGCCGACCGATTGAGACCATTAATCGCCTGTTTGGCCATTACTTCAGTTCTGAACAATGTTTGAAGTTTTTGCTTAAGATTTAACTTCAAGTCTATTTCATTTCCATTTGTGTTCACATCTGTTGTTTGCATTGGATTTATACCTAAAAAGTCGTTCAGTTTGAGCGCTCTTTGGCCCTCATTTTCGTCAACTGATCCATCGCTCGAGTCGTTGTCGACATTGCAATCGACGCCATCATCTGATCCATTGTCTGATTCATTGTCTTTGACGCTCAGTCTTTCGATCAATCGTTCATTACTTGTTTTGTCTTCTCTATGAGACACCAGTTCTTCGCCATTCAATTCATCACTTCTTTTGGATCTTTTATTACGTCTATTGTCTTCTGTATTGTCGACCACTTCTTCACCATTCAATTGATCCCTTCTTTTGGATCTTTTACTCAAATCTAATAATTAGACATAAAATACAATTAATTACTAAACGATAACAACAATTGTCTTACGCTTTGAATTGCCATCAAATGAGAGATGAGTTGACAAAACATAACAACTCTTTGTTTGCAATAAAGCATTGATTTCTTGATTGTATTTAAAGTCCAATTGAGTTGTGATTTGTTTAACATTTTGTAAATAATGTATAAATTGTTGACATTTTTTGGCCAATAATTGAAATCTCGATAAATCTGTTGACAAACAATTGATTTCACGTTTCAATTCATTTACACATAAATACAACTCATTTTGCGTTAATTGCGTTAAATCCTCAAAAACTTCACTCATTTTCATGTTTCAAAACATATGTTTAAAACACAATTAAATTGTATTTAAATCACAAATAAATACCAAAAAACTATTCAATAATTTCATAATTGGATGAAAATGTAAACACAAAACACGTGACAATCGTTTGGCAGACAATCAATACATACAAAACGTTATGCAGAAAAACAGATCAAAAAAGTAAAGTTAACTTTTAATTAATAAAATTTAATTAATCGGAAAATAATTTTATTTCAATTAAATCAATTCATTATTTACATTAAAATTAATGGTATAAAAACTAATAATTGTTCATGTGCCTATTGTCACAGCATATTGTATAGGCACAGGTATTTACATGTATATATTTTAAGACAGATTACGTTATAATCCTTATAAATAAATAAAAGCCATAATTAAATTAATTAAGTTAATAATAGAAACGAGTTTACAATCTATAATTACAAATCCAATACAACTCCACATTTATATTAAGCTTTCACTTTAAGTCTAGTGCACTGGTAGTCAGCGATGCCCTGATGTTTGTTCAAGTGATTTGTTAGACATCCGGCGGTTTTGGTTTTATAATCACATTCAGGCCAATGGCAGCGATAGACTGTTCTCTCCGCCGCTGCACCGGTAGTCTTGTTATGAGTGGACTTTTGGTGATAACTAAGTGAATACTCGTTGAGATACTGTTTGTCACATCCGGGCCATACACACCGATACACCCGTTCCCCGCTGTGGGCGTTCAGATGGCGCTTCATTTCAGGGTATCGGACGAACCTCTTGTCACATCCCGGCCAATGGCAGGGGATCTTCAGGGAGTCGTCGTGACGGACGCGATGATTCCTCAAGGCTTGGGATTCGCCAAAGCATTTGTCGCATTGCGAGCACTTGTATGGCTTTGTGTGAGACTTTGTGTGTATTGTAAGATCATGTGGAATCTTCGTGCGCCACTCACAGCCTGTATGCGAACACTGAATCCACGGTAAGTCCGGGAAGTGCTGCCAATGGACACGTTTCTGGTGTTCGGTCAGCGCCATCTCCAATCGGAACGCTTGGCCGCAATCATCCAATTCGCACCGAAAAGGCTTTTCGCCCGTATGTGTCGACAGGTGTTGCTTTAGGCTAAACGCACTGCCAGTACTAAATTTGCAACCGGGATGTCCACAGTGGTGGGGCCGTTGGTTATGCATACGCCACTGGTGTTTATATCGTTTGTCCCGAGTGTTAAACGTTGTCGTACAGCCATTTATACCGCACACCGAGTGCTCCACTCGATGTACTTTTAGTTTATGGGTACGGCATAACACGCGTGAGTTGAAGCGCTTCTCACAGCCAATAAAATCGCAGATATACTGGCCGTCGGGTGTCATCTCAAAGACAGGTTTCTCTGGTCTCGGTTTCTTATGCCGTATTGAGTGCGCCTTTAAGTCTCTCTTAATTTTGGTCATAAACTCGCAGTCGGTGTGCGGGCACTCAAACCACGGCCACTCGGTGTGCGCATCGGGGTGTCGGTGGAGCTGATGCCGCAACAATTGGTCGTAAACTATAAACTGCTTCCCGCAACCGACGTAATCGCACTCATATCTGCCAACTGATTGCCGGCGATCGTCGGCCGCTTTCCGATGAGCGATATGTGTGTCCGTGTGTTCGCCCAACGCGTGCATCGATACGGCGCGAAATGTGCACAACGGCTGCGGACAGGCAAACGCGCTGTCCATAGGATCTGGTGTGTGAAGTCGGCGCCAGTGATTGATCAAACCTATGCGTTCAATCCAACTCATAGTGCATCCAACCCACGGACACGCGTACCGGCCATCGGGTCCCTTACGAAAGACAAGCTTACGGTTGTCGCCGAACCGATGGTCCAGAGGGACTATCGGCTTAGGGGTCGGGTATACGCGCACTCGTTTTCGCGGCTGAATCAGATCCTGTTTGTGACCGTTTTCGTGCCGTTTCTGGTCGTCCAGCGATTTCGTCCTATACTGACAGCCAGTGTGCGGGCACTCAATCCATGGACAGTACGGATAGGCGTCCGGATGCATTCGGAGCTGATGTCTCACCAAATATTGATATGTTGTCGCTGAGAGATCGCAATTGGGTTCACCGCACGGATACATACCGTCCGGTCGGACGCGACTGTCGCTCAACAGGCGGTGAGTCTTATGGGCGGACCAGTGGTCGGCCATAGCGTCAGCGTCTGGTGTCCGGAAGGGACACGTCTTTATTTTACAATTGTATTGTCCGTCGGTGTCGGGCGTATGGACACGACGTTTGTGTTCCTCCACTCTACTGATGCGACAACTGGTAAAGTCACAGTCAGGCCAACCGCAAGCGAACATCCCTTTCGAGGTCGTGACCACCGGTGCGGCCGCGCTATTGCCCGATGGACTGCCACCAGTTGCCGACCGATTGAGACCATTAATCGCCTGTTTGGCCATTACTTCAGTTTTGAACAATGTTTTCATTTTTTGCTTAAGATTTAAGTCTATTTGCTCTCCATTTGTGTTCACATCTGTTGTTTGCATTGGATTTATACCTAAGAAGTCGTTCAGTTTTAGCGCTCTTTGGCCCTCGTTTTCGTCAACTGATCCATCGCTCGAGTCGTTGTCGACATTGCAATCGACGCCATCATCTGATCCATTGTCTGATTCATTATTTTCAACACTAAAATGTTTATTATTGAGATCTTGTGTTTGTGTGACTATGTCTTCATATCTTGTGTTGTCTTCTCTATTGTCGACCACTTCTTCGCCATTCAACTGATCCCCTCTTTTGGATCTTTTACTCAAATCTATTGATTAGACATAAAATACAATTAATTACTAAACGATAACAACAATTGTCTTACGCTTTGAATTGCCATCAAATGAGAGATGATTTGACAAAACATAACAACTCTTTGTTTGCAATAAAGCATTGATTTCTTGATTGTATTTAAAGTCCAATTGAGTTGTGATTTGTTTAACATTTTGTAAATAATGTATAAATTGTTGACATTTTTTGGCCAATAATTGAAATCTCGATAAATCTGTTGACAATAAATTGATTTCTCGTTTCAATTCATTTACACATAAATACAACTCATTTCGCGTTAATTGCGATAAAATCACAAACTCTTCACTCATTTTGCATCAAAAAACATATGTTTTTAAAACACAATTAAATTTAATTGCAATTAAATAAATGCAAAAACTATTCAATCATTGAATTCATAACTGAATGCAAAACAAAAACCCAAATTACGTGACAATTGTTTGGCAGACAATCAATACATACAAAACGTTGAGCAGAAAAATAGACCAAAAAAATAAAGTAAACTTTTAATTAATCAGAAAATAATTTTATTTTAATTAAATCAATTCAATATTTACATTAAAATTAATGGTATAAAAACAAATAATTGTTCATGTGCCTATTGTCATAGACTATGACTCATAGTATATTGTATAGGCACAGGTATTTACATGTATATATTTTAAGACAGATTACGTTATAATCCTTATAAATAAATAAAAGCTATAATTAAATTAATTAAGTTAATAATAAAAACGGAGTTCCAATCTATAGTTACAAATACAACTCCACATTTATATTAAGCTTTCACTTTAAGTCTAGTGCACTCGTAGTCAGCGATGCCCTGATGTTTGTTCAAGTGATTTGTTAGACATCCGGCGTTTTTGGTCTTATAGTCACATTCAGGCCAATGACAGCGAAGGACTGTTTCCTTCGGCAAAGCTGTAGTCTTGTTATGAGTGGACTTTTGGTGATAACTAAGTGAATACTCGTTGAGATACTGTTTGTCACATCCGGGCCATAGACACCGATAGACCCGTTCCCCGCTGTGGGCGTTCAAATGGCGCTTCATTTCGGACAATCGGACGAACTTCTTGTCACATCCCGGCCAATGGCAGGGGATCTTCAGGGAGTCGTCGTGACGGATGCGATGGCGCGTCAAGTCATCGGAATTGGCAAAAGACTTATCGCATTGCGAGCACTTGTATGGCTTTGTATGGGTGCGGGCGTGTATTCTGACATCGGTAACCATTTTCGTGCGGTACTGACAGCCGGCGTGCGGGCACTCAATCCACGGCAAGTCCGGGAAGTGCTGCCAATGGACACGTTTCTGGTGATCCGTCAGAAACTTGTTCAAACCGAACGCTTGGCCGCAGCCATCCATTTGGCACCGAAACGGCTTTTCGCCCGTATGTGTCAACCGATGCCTATTAATGCGAAACAGACTGCCTGTGCTGTAATCACAGCCGGGGTGTCCGCACGGGTGGGGCTTTTTATTATGCTTATGCCACCGATGAATACGTAAGTTCCTCGGGTTGTTGATCGTTGCCGTACAGCCGTCGACACCGCACACCGTAGGGATACACCGGTGGCCGAGTTTATGTCGCGTCAATTGGTCGCGTCGTGGGAATCGTTTACCGCAACCGACAAAATCGCATATAAACTGGCCGTCGGGTGTCATCGGGTATTTCGTCGACACTTTCTTGGGCTTCTTATGAAACTGCAAGTGTCGCTGTAATAGGCTTTTAATTTTGGTCATATACTGGCAGTCGGTGTGCGAGCACTCAAACCACGGCCACTCGGTGTGCGCTTCGGGGTGTCGGTCGAGCTGATGCCGAAGTAGACGTCCGTAATCGACAAACTGTTGGGCGCACTCGCGGTAATCGCATTGATATTTGCCGACTGATTGCCGACGAGCGTCGGCCGCTTTCCGGTGCGCGGTGTGTGTGTCCGTGTGATCGGTCAACGCCGGCATCGATACGGCGCGGAACGTACAGAGAGGCAGAGGACAGGCGAACGTGGCATTCATGGCATCGGGCGTGTGGTAACGGCGCCAGTGAACTGTCATACTCTTGCGAAACGTCCAACTCTTGTCACAGCCCTCCCACGGGCACCGGTAGCGGCCGTCCGGGCCTTTACGAGCCGTGAGTTTGCGTTTGGTCTCAAAGCGATGATCTATGGTTACGGTTCGCATTGCGGGCGCTTTTTTAGGCTCAATTTCGCCCTCTTTATGGCTGTCGGCGTGGGATTTGTTGTTTCGACAGCATTTGGTCCTATACTGACAGCCAGTGCGGGAACACTCCAACCACGGCCAGTAGGGATACACGTCTGGATGGGTTCGCAGCTGATGTACGATTAGATCCGAGTATGTGGGCGATAGTTGGACGCAATCGGGTTGACCGCAGGGTATCTTCCCGTCCGGCTGTATCTGACTGTCAGCCCAGAGTCGGTGTTCCTTATGGTGTGCCGAGTGATCGGCCATATTCTCGGCCGACAGTGTCCTGAATGAGCAGGTCTTCAGTCGGCAATTGTATTGTCCGTCGGCGTCGGGCCTATGGGTCAGGCGTTGGTGTTCTTTAAGATGAGTCTGTCTGCTATAACTGCGGCCGCAATCAAACCAATCGCATACAAACGGTCTATTAATGAATCGGTTCCTGGCTTTGACCACTTGGGCCGCAGCCATGTCTCGACTCGAGGGCTCGCTTGCAATGGCCTGTTCTCTGCTATCCTTGACTTCATTTTCAAACAATGTCTTAAGTTTTTGCTTAAGAGTTGACTTAAATTCTATTCTTCCTGAGTTTTTGTCGCCATTTTCGTTAACATGTGTTGACTCATTCGGTTTGTCGCTTAGTCTTAGCACTTCTTGGCCCTCATTCTCGTCAACTGATCCATCGTTTGAATCGCTGTCGACATCGCAATCGACGCCAACATCTGATTCGTTGTCTAGTGCTTTGTCTTCAGCGCTAATTCGACCTCTGGATCTTTTATTACATCTATTGTCTTCTCTATTGTCGACCACTTCTTTGTCGTTCAATTGATCCCTTCTTTTGGATCTTTTACTCAAATCTATTGATTAGACATAAAATACAATTAATTACTAAACGATAACAACAATTGTCTTACGCTTTGAATTGCCATCAAATGAGAGATGAGTTGACAAAACATAACAACTCTTTGTTTGTAATAAAGCATTGATTTCTTGATTGTATTTAAAGTCCAATTGAGTTGTGATTTGTTTAACATTTTGTAAATAATGTATAAATTGTTGACATTTTTTGGCCAATAATTGAAATCTCGATAAATCTGTTGACANGTTGACATTTTTTGGCCAATAATTGAAATCTCGATAAATCTGTTGACAAACAATTGATTTCTCGTTTCAATTCATTTACACATAAATACAACTCATTTCGCGTTAATTGCGTTAAATCCTCAAAAACTTCACTCATTTTCATGTTTCAAAACATATGTTTAAAACACAATTAAATTGTATTTAAATCACAAATAAATACAAAAAACTATTCAATAATTTCATAATTGGATGAAAATGTAAACACAAAACACGTGACAATCGTTTGGCAGACAATCAATACAATGTCATACAAAATGTTATGCAGAAAAAGTAAAGCAAGCTTTTAATGCTATTAATTTGATTTCAAAATAATTATATTTAATTCAATCAATACTTAGTTTACATTAAATTTAATGTAATTATGCACATTTATTTATGCATTTTAATACAGATTATAAGTATTATAAATCAATAAAAACTACAATTAAATTATTAAATTAACGCTAGAAAGCGGTTCCGATTTACACATTACAAATCCAATACAACTCCAGATTTTCATTAAGCTTTCACTTTAAGTCTAATGCACTGGTAGTTAGCAATGCCCTGATGTTTGTTCAAGTGATTCGTCAGACATCCGGCGTTTTTGGTCTTATAATCACATTCAGGCCAATGGCAGCGAAGGACTGTTGTCTCCGCCGCTGCACCAGTAGTCTTGTTATGAGTGGTCTTTTGGTGAGAACTGAGTGAATACTCGTTGACATACTGTTTGTCACATCCGGGCCATTGACACCGATAGACCCGCTCTCCGCTGTGGGCGTTCAGATGGCGCTTCATTTCAGCCAATCGGACGAACTTCTTGTCACATCCCGGCCAATGGCAGGGGATCTTCAGGGAGTCGTCGTGACGGATGCGATGGCGTCTCAAGTCTTCGGAAACAGAGAAACATTTGTCGCATTGCGAGCACTTGTATGGCTTTGTGTGAGACTTTGCGTGTGTTGTAAAGTCGGTTTGGAGTTTTGTGCGCCACTCACAGCCGATATGCGTGCATTGAATCCACGGTAAGTCCGGGAAGTGCTGCCAATGGACACGTTTCTGGTGGTCGGTCAGCATTTTCTCCAATCGAAACGCTTGGGAGCAGTCATCCAATTCGCATTCAAAAGGCTTATCGCCCGTATGTGTCAACCGGTGTTTCTTTAGGGTATACAGACTGCCAGACCTGTAGTCACAGCCGGGGTGTCCGCAGTGTTGCGCCCCTTTGTTATGCTGACGCCACCGATGGGTACGTAATTGTCTCGGATTTTTGAACGTTGCCGCACAGCCGTCCACACCGCACACCGAAGCGGTTAACCGGTGAACGCATTTATGTCGGATCAATTGGTCGCGTCGTGAGAACCGTTTACCGCAACCGACAAAATCGCATATAAACTGGCCGTCGGGTGTCATCGGCAAAACCTCTTTGGCTTTCTTCGACCTCTTATGAAGGCTTCTGTGGCCCCGCAATAGGCTTCTAATTTTGGTCATATACTCGCAGTCCGTGTGCGGGCACTCAAACCACGGCCACTCGGTGTGCGCTTCGGGGTGTTTGTGGAGCTGATGCCGAAGTAGACGCCCGTAATCGACAAACTGTTGGGCGCACTCGCGGTAATCGCATTGATATTTGCCCATCAATTCTCGTCGATCGTCAGCCGCTTTCCGGTGCGCCGTATGTGTGTCCGTGTGATCGGTCAACGCCGGAATCGATACGGCGCGGAACGTACAGAGAGGCAGAGGACAGACCAACCAGTCAGCCATAGTCTCTACGGCGTCGGGCGTGTGGTTGCGGCGCCAATGAATTGTCAAACCCCTGCGTACGGCCCAACTCTTGTCACAGCCCTCCCACGGGCAACGGTAGCGTCCGTCCGGGCCTTTGGAAGCCGTAAGCTTGCGTTTCAGCCCAAACCGATGGTCAATGGTTACGATGGGCTTAGGGGTCGGGTAGACGTGGACACGTTTCTTTGGCTCAATGTCCCCCTGTCTGTGACTGTCGGCGTGGCGTTTGATGTCTCGCTGGGCTTTGGTTCGGTACTGACAGTCAGGGCGCTCGCACTCCATCCACGGCCAGTAGGGATACACGTCTGGGTGGACCCGTAGCTGGTGCTGGATTAGGGCCGAGTACTTGGGTGACAGGTAGACGCAATCGAGTTGACCGCAGGGCATCTTCCCGTCCGGCTGTATCTGACTGTCAGCCCAGAGTCGGTGCGCCTTATGCTCTGACCAGTGATCGGCCATATCCTCGGCCGACGGCGTCTTGAATGAGCAGATAATCATTCGGCAATTGTATTGTCCGTCGGCGTCGGGCCTATGAGTCAGGCGTTGGTGTTCTTTAAGATAACTCTGATTGCTATAACTGCGGCCGCAATCAAACCAATCGCATACAAACGCTTCGCCTTTAGATCGGTTCCAGGCCTTCACCACTCCGGCGGCGGCCATCTCTCGGCTCGTCAAAGCCTCGGCTGTGATGGTCTGTTCTCTGCTCATGTCGTCCTCTGATTGGTCAGTGATTTCCATGACTTCAGTTTTAGCTATTGTTTTGCGTTTACGCTTAAGAGTTGACGTTTTAATGGATTTGTTGTCTAAAAAGTCGTTTAGGTTTAAGACTTCTTGGCCCTCATTCTCGTCAACTGATCCATCGCTCACATCGTTGCCGATATCGCAATCGACGCCAACGTCTGACCCGTTCTCTGATTCCTGGTCTTCGACGCTCAGTCTTCCGATCAATCGTTCATTACTTGTATTGTCTTCTCTATTGTCGACCACTTCTTCGTCATTCAATTCATCACTTCTTTTGGATCTTTTACTCAAATCTATTGATTAGACATAAAATACAATTAATTACTAAACGATAACAACAATTGTCTTACGCTTTGAATTGCCATCAAATGAGAGATGAGTTGACACAACATAACAACCCTTTGGTTGTAATAAAGCATTGATTTCTTGATTGTATTTAAAGTCCAATTGAGTTGTGATTTGTTTAACATTTTGTAAATAATGTATAAATTGTTGACATTTTTTGGCCAATAATTGAAATCTCGATAAATCT